GGGGGGAGGACAAGCTAGGTGCGCTCGCGTCATCCATCCCTCCCTCCCATCCCTTACCATGGCGTAGATCCCCTCTCTACTCGCACAATTGGATGTCGAACAGGGCAATAATCCCGAAAGGGTACGCGATGCATTGTAGAGCACGGCATGGCAGGAGACGAGGAGAAGAAGGACGGGGAGGAGGAGGAGGAGGAGGAGGAGGAGGAGGAGGAGGACGAGGAGAAGGACGAGGAGGAGGAGGAGGAAAAGGAGGAGGAGGACGAGGAGGAGGAGGAGGAGGAGGAAGAGGAGGAGGAGGAGGAGGAGGAAGAGGAGGAGGAGGAGGACGAGGAGGACGAGGAGGACGAGCTCGCCCTGAAAAATCACCCCGTCCACCCCCCTGGCCCCCGCGCCTTGGATCGCCACCCCGTGCTCCCCCCCCCTGGCCTTCCAGGCAACCCGGAATTGTAAGCCCCCCGTCTGCCTGGGCTGCCCCCCCGCTATTGCGGGGGCGAGGAGGCCCGGGAAACAATTCTTTGAACCGTCCGCCCCAGAAAGTTTTTAAGTTTATTAAAAATCGTTTCCTTCCATTGAATGTCACGGTTGTTGCGCCCTCGAGGCAACAAACCATCGAGCACTACCCAGCAACACCGTCCGCGAAGCCAGGAACTTTAGCACATTATCTCGTATTCACATTGCCGAATCCACGAGCGCTCCAGGGCGCCCGAAGATGGTTCCAAAACGGCCCAAGATGGGCATAGACAGGCCCCACGAGCGCCCAAAGAGGCTTAGAGGCTTCCCGAGAGAGTCCCAAGAGGCTAAACTAGCAGATGTTATTTCGGTGGTTCAACGGTTTTGGTCTGCTCGCCATTTCGTGTGTACGGCGCTCCAAGACGGGTCAATGAGCTCCCAAGGCCGCTCCAAAGCATGCCCAAGAGGGCCCCAAGACGGCCCGACGAGGGGCCCAAGCAAGGACCACGAACCGAAAATCCCACCAGCCTTCTGGGCGTGGGTGGTTTAGGGCGGTTCATCTTCCACCCCTCCCTATTCCCCCCAAGGAGGGGTTCACCCTTCCCCGTGCGCCCTCCCCTGGCCGGGGCGCTCCGCGAGCGGTCGGAGCGTCCACGACGGCCTCGGCGAGGAAGCCAACATCACTGGCTTTACTCAGGTTTTGGCCCCATGTTGGCCTCCTGGGAAGGAGAAGTCGACCCTTTTTTGATCGATCTCCTCCGAGACGGCCCCAAGAGAACTCCCAGGGTTCCCAAGGGTGCCCCCAGAGGGCCCCAAGAGGCGATGGAGACCGATCGCAACCACTTCGGAACGATCGTCGACCACTTCGGACTGATCACAACCAGTCGCGATCAGTCCGAAGTGGTTCCGATGTGTTGGGCCGCCTCAAAAAGGTTTCGTTTTAGGGAAAGATCATACGAACGCTTCTGGGTGCGCTTAACTCCCTTAAGCCCTTGGGCCGCCCTGTGGGAATTAGGAAAAAACGATTCCAACCGGTCCAATCACCGACGGCCGATCATGATCTCAGCCAAACACATGTGTCTGAGCTCGGACATGGCCATGACACGTCTACGATTCCTATGTGACGCATATATGGTTCCCATGCGATTCGCATACGAACCCCATGTGTTTTCGTATTCGGTTCCGATGTGATTCGTTTGCGGTTCCGATGCTATTCGTTCTAAGAGCTCGCCTGAATCCAAAGAAATGGTTTTCGGGAGTCCTAAAGATTCCTACGGACCCACCAATTCCCAGATTCCTGAAAAGGGCCTCTGGGGGAATCCTAGGAACTCCCATGGACCCGACCAATTGCCGGATTCCAGAGAAGCTCTGCAGAAGCTCCGCAAAAGCTCTGAAGAAGCTCTGAAGAAGCTCTTCAGGAGCTCTTCGGAAACTCTGCAGGAGCTCCTCAGAAGCTCGTCAGAATCTACGCAGGAGCTCCGCAGACGCTCTGCATTTTGGCCTCCTGGGGGGGACTATTTCAAATGACTCCCAAAGTGTTTGGGAGAGCCCAAGATGACCTCCAAGATGGCTCAAGATACCCCAATATGCCTCAAGATGGCCCCCACGATGCTCCAAGAGGCCCCAGGACCGCCCCAAGACGGCCACAAGTGGCCACAGAGCTTCCCGAGGCCAGAATCCTTCCAAAACCTCGGGGATACTAATGTTTTTGGCTTTCGCGCCTTTTCGGTTCCGGCGGCTCCAAGATGGCTCCAAGAGCGCCCCCAAGGTTCCCAAAAGGGCTTCAAAAGAGCTCCAAGAGGCGACCAGGCCCAAGAGGTCTACAAGAGCCCCCAAAAGACCCCAAAGAGGCCCAAAACAGCTTTCCGAGGCACCCCGCGACGTTCTAAGAGGCGCCCGGGACTGCCAAGAGGCCCCCAAGACGCTCCAAAAAGCCTCCACTGGGGGACCCTTCCTCTTTGTGCTGCGACAGAAAGAGAAAAAGGAAACAACAAGAGAACAGCGGGAGGTGAGACTAGCCAGGGCGGGCCGCGCGGCGCTCATGGAGGGGGTGCCATCGGCAACAAGCAACCGCTGGAGGCGCACGCCCAAAAAGGCGGGCAACTAGCTGGCATGTGTGGTGTCCCGTGACTGCGGCGTGGGGCACCCCCGCGGGAGATAGCGGAAGCCGCAAGCGCCTGCGCTTGTGCGAGGGGCAGCACGCGGGGGGCTGAGCGCGGCAAGGGTTATGCATCCCTGCAAGGGGAGCAAGCCTTCGGGTGCGTCGAAGCCAATGCGGGTGGCGGCGGAACGAGCGAGTGCCGACGATCGAACAGCAGTTTGCGCCGTGGGACAGGCACAACGCAAGCAGACTGAAGGCAGTCAGCCGCGCGTCGACACCAGTGAAAAGGCCAGCTGACATGCAGGCGCTCGACGGGCGGGAGTCCGGATCGCCAAGACCGGAGTCCGACTGAGGTGTCGGATCCCGTCGGGGAGCAGAAGGGAACGCTACCCACGTGGTAGGGGGGCGGACCGAGTGGCCAGCGGACCCCAGGCAGGCGTCGGAGGGCCGCCGCAGGCCGAGAGCCGCGGTGGGCGGCGGGGGCCATGGCGGCGAGAGTGCCGCAGAGAGTGGGCAGGCGTCCAGTAGCGGCGGCCCGCGTCCGCTGTGCGGCGAGAGGGAAAGAGAGGGACCCAGGCGGCGCCTTTGTGCGGAGCAGGAGGCCGCTGAGCGGGGGCGCCGTGGCGAAGGGGCCACGGCAGCGAAACGGCTTCGACGCGCCTGTGTGCCCCGGAGCCAGAGACGAGGGCAGAGGCGCCGAAGGGGCCCCATGCGGGCCACGCGGGGCGTGAGCCAGGGGGGGTGGCTCGGCGCCAGGGGGCGAAAAACCACGCCGATGGGCATGGAAACATCGGGACCAGGCGAGCCGACAGCCCCAGCCGGGGCGCGCGCCTGGCAGTATTGGGCGCGAGGCCAAGGCGGCCCCCGGAAGGGCCGCGGGGAGGGCCGGCGTTGGGGGCCAGCGGGCCACGGCGGGGCGGGAAGAGGGCGAGGGCGACACCCCAGCCTACGCGGCGCAGAGCAGGACGCGACCCGCGCTCGCGGGAGTGCGTGAGGAGGGGGGGGGAGCGGCGCAGAGCGCGGGAGGCCGGCAGGAGAGCCGGCACCAAATGGGGGGGAGACAACGGTCGCGAGCATGGGGGAATGCAGAGGCGACTAATTGTCGCATGTACGTGTGTAAAAGTGGCAGAGGTGGCGAAGGCGCAGGTGAGGCACAGAAGCGACTGACGGTCGCATGTATTGGTGTAAGCGGCATGTGAGGGGCAAGGAGCCCACGGGGGGGGCACCCAGGGGGGTCTTGAGGGGGGTCTCCGGGGAGTGGGCGCGCACCCCACGGTGGTGCGTGCCAGAACCGCTGCGCTGTTGCTCCTCTGGTCGCGAGCCAGGAGCGGGGCAGGAGCAGCGGCCAACCGTGGCCCCGCAGCTCGGGACCTGAGAATGGGAGCGGGGCCTGCAGCGGTGGCGCCCACACCCCCAGGGTGCCCAGGGAGACGAGGCAGCAGGGGCGCACGTCCAGGGGCGGGCGAGCCGCGGCGTCGACTGCCAGGAGGTCTGGTGTGTGAGCCCCATACGCTGCGGTGGGTGCACAGCGGCGGTGGGGGCCCCGGCCCTGGCGGAGGGGGCCTACCGATGCTCCCAGGGCCGGCGGCTGCTCGAGGCGCGGCGGGTGGGGTTACGCGACGCGGCTGGAGTTCTATGTCTGTGCCCCGAGAAGCCACCAGGAGGCCCTTAGGGGCCACCAAGACGCTCCAAGAGGCCCCAAGAGGCGCCCCAGAGGCCGCCAAGAGGCCCAAAAGATACCCCACGAGGCCCCAAGAGGCCCCATAGAGGCGCCCAACCCGCCGCCAAGAGGCCCCCGAAAGGCTCCCCTACGACACCCCCAACACATACACAAGAGGCCTCAGACCCACAACCCAGGCACGGAGGCTGGGTGGGCTGAAAGCCACTCGGATAAAGCCAACGTCTCAATATGCGCTGATGATTCCTATCCGCCCCCGCATGATGATCCCAAATGCGCCAAGGCAGCGCCGAGACGCACCCACGCGACTCTGATATATCCCATTCTGATAGAGAGGGGGCCGGCGGCAGGGGGCGAAGCCCTTACGGATAAATTCGCCGGCCCAACGGGCCAGAGACGGGCTAAGAGCTCCAGCTACTGGTAAACAATATATGTCTAGTTCGCGAGCGCGGGGCGGCTCCTGGGGGTCCCCGGACGACAAGTACCCAGGGCGGTCCCAGAAAGAGATGGTGTTTCCTTCTGGGCGCGGCTTTCAGGCGCCGCAGAGCGCTCCTAGAGGGACGGAAGAGGGCTCCGAGTCCAAGGGGGCTCCAGTCGCCTAGAGTCCCAGAGTCCCAGAAGGTCCAAGAGGGCTCCGAGTCGCCGACCGATCGGTCCAAGACGCCCAAGATGGCCTCCAGACGGCCGCAGATACCCACACGACGCCAGAAGAGGATTCGAAGACGCGTCTCAAGATGGCCCCAGGTCGCAAGAACCATCGACATCCCTTTGGTTTTTTTTAAACGTAGGCGGCACAAAACGCGGTAGCACAAAGTGCCAGAGCACAGCATACTGCAGCACAAAATGCTGCGATGGCCCAGAAATCCACCCTCACTGCCGCAGCTTCGGCAGCATAGAGCGGAACGGGGCGCCAGACAATAGCTGAGCGAAACCGCCTGGAAAACGGCCTGAGTAATCGGGATGCAATGAATGATGCGTTTCGAAAAACGGACGGACACTGTGTCAAACTATTGCAATCAGGCCCAAGCGACACAAAGTCTCAGACTGCGAGGACTAGCCACGACCTCCGAGAACCTCAGATGGCCTCTGGAGACCTGTGAGGATCTCCTGGAGGAGGAGGCCAGTAACCACGACAAACACAGACACACTGCTGACAAAAAAATGCATGCGGGGTTCTCAACACACCTGCAAGTCGGGCCCAGTGTGGGTGTGTGTGTGTGCGTGTGTGCGTGCGTGTGCGTCGTCCGTGAAAACTCAACCTCGAAGCCGAGGCAGCTGAGCATAAAAAATGAAACTCTGTTCGGGTCTCCACGATAATCTGGGCAAGGAGGCGCCACATTCTCGCGAGGACGCGAGGTCACCTGCATCGAAACTCACACTTCGACAGAGTGGAGGATGGTTAACTCGCAGCCATCTGTTCCCAAGCGACGTCGAAGTCTACTCGCGTCGATCTGAAGACTAGGCAAGCTAAACGCAAAGCAAAACACAAACATGAGGACAAGACTGACTTAGGCCTGCGTCCATGTTTCTTCAAACGAGCTCGATCTCGCAATGACCAAAGATCCACCCGGGCAAAAGGTCGTGCAATCTAAAAGCAACAACTTTCAGATTGCCAGAACCCCAATAACCCTCCAGATATCCTTCCAAAAGTCAACAGACCTACTGCACTATATCACCATGGTCAAATGTCATCGTGCAAATGCATCTCGCGGTCCACGACGACGTCGAAGTCTACTCGCGTCGTACACAGGAAAATGGATCACCTCGAAACTGAGTTAGACAGCGCTGCTCCGGCCAACGCTCCACGACAACAGAAGATAGCGGTCTTTCCGGCTGCGCAGCCGAAAGGTCGCACCCTCTTCATTCACCGTGTCCCAGACGACGCTGAAGTCTAATTACTCGCGTCGTGAAAAAAAAACGATTGCGTCGATACCGGGGGCGATGAGACCGCTCCTGGCGGGCGCTCTACCACAGCAGGATATCGTGCCGCCTTGCAACAACACGCCGCACTGACCTGCTGCGCCACAACGGCCGTGCCAAGCCGGCACCGGGCACGCGCGTCACGCAGCGGCAGGACGCAGAACGCTGCGGGTGAAAGCGTTCTGGCGCTGTGCACTCAACAGCATGCTGTCGAACGGCGAGTCAGGCTCACGATGGCCCGCCGCGCCAACCTCGTAGACTTCGACCGCCTGGGCCTCCGCGGCCCAGCCGCGTCTCCGCTCTGGCTGCGTTGCAGGCTGGCGCACGGACCTCACCAGAATGCTGCCAAACGGCGACGGTGGCTCCGAGTCGTCGACCGCGCCCGCCTCGCAAGGCACTGCAGTTCCGAGCGCTGGGGCCCCGACGGAACTCCGCACCACCACGCTGCTGCACGGCAAGGGTGGCCCGCACTGGTCCATCACGGTGGGCTCGCAGGGCTCGACCACCACGGAGTCGGAGGCCTCGTCCTGGTCCGCACCCAGCAGCTCACACATGGATCCGTCCGGCGGGCTGAAGGCCCTGAGACTCTCGCCGTCAGCCGACGTGCTGCTGCTGCTCATCGACCCAATGCGGTGACCCGTCACGCCGCAGTGCTCCAGCTCTGGCAGGCACGGCTTGGCGCCCTTGCTCGAGGTCAGCAGGCACCGGCTCTTCGACGTCGACAGATGCAGCCCAGGAACCAGGGACATGTTCAGGGCAGCAGGACGGAGGTTGCGGTACATGGCACGAGGCTCGCTCGCAAGAATCCCCGAGATGTATGTGGGCAAAAACGCTGGCGCAAAATCGGCTCAAGCCAAAGCGGCCCTTGAGCCAAAATGGCTACGGTTCGACATCCCTTTGGTTTTTGAAGGATTTGGGCGTTCTCATCTGTTCGGCTTCCCGACGCTCAAATACGGCCCAAGAGCCCCCCACCATCGCCCCATGACGGGCCAAGAGGCCTCCAAGAGGGCCCCAAGAGGGCCCAGGGGTCCCAAGGCGGCCAAAGAGGCCTCCAAGACAGCCCAAGAGGCGCCCAAGACGGCCAAAGAGGGCCCCAAAACTAAGCCAAGAGGGGCCCAAGAAGGGGACCAGGAATCGAAAAGTCCAGCCGTAAGCCCCAAGAGGCCCCCAGGAGGCTCCAAGAGGCCACCAAAAGGCCCCAAGGGGCCCCCAAGAGGCACCCCAAGAAGCCCCAAGAAGCTCCCGAGAGGCCCAAAGAGGCCCCGACACGGCCCCCAAGAGGTATCAAAACTGCCTCCCAGAGGCCCCCCAAGAGGCCCGAAACACGGCCCCCAAACGGCGAGACAATGTGAGCCGGCGGAATGCGCGAAGCGATCCGCCGCCCCACCAGGTACGGCGTGTGAGATCCACAGCATGGTCTTCAACAATGCTTTGTGTAAGTCTTCTCTCCGGCGCGCTCTTCACACCTACCAGTGCCTCTGGGCCCTCGGTGCCCCTCCTATAGGGTCCTCCCCGCGCCTCGCTCGTTCGGCCGGCCCATGGGGCCCCGCCTGCGGTCGGGGCGCCTTCTGGCAGCCATGTCCGTCCCAAGGCGACCCTCCTTCCACGTGCTAGCCTTAGGTCGGGCGTGTCCCCCTGCAGGGGATTTTGGACGCAAGATAAAATATGATCAAAAACTACTTCCACAATAGTCAAAGATAGTCAAACAATCGACACTGACTATTGTTGTTACTATTTTCGAATGCTTCTCCTCTAGAGGGACAGGCCCGACTTACTGCGTTTCTTCCAGGCGCCGCCAGGCGCTCTCATAGACCTCTCCCGGAGCCCACTGGGCCGCCTGTCGGGCCTCCTCAGGCTCTCCTGGGCTCATTGTCACCCTCCTCCAGGCCACTTTGAGCCGTTTCAGATGCCTTTCCACCTCTTTTCGAGCCACATGCACCAAAACACCCCGACGAGCCAACAACATCTCGTTAAACACGTAAGATGTTGATGATTCTGGCCTTCGCGCACTTCTCCTTGCGCCTCTCTCTCTCGGGGCTCCCGTGTATCTCCGCTGGCTCTTGCGGCCATCTTAGAACCTGGGCATGCTCTCTCTACGACCGTCCTCACAACCTGGCGGACCCATCTTGGGCCGCCTGGCCGCCTTCTTGGCGCCGTATTTCGCCCATCTGGAGGGCCCCCTCAGAGCCTCCAGAAGCCGCAAACAAACCCGAACTGCTTTTTGTTCCCTTCCTGCTTTCATCGTTCACCCCAAGTCGCCGCACTTGACCCATTCCGGCTCCTGTTTGGGCCCCTCCGGAAGTCCCCCTGGGACGAACCCGAGGGTTTGTTTGAGCTGCTCCAGCCTCTCTGCAGCCGTCCCAGCCTCAGGGTCATGTGAAATGCACTCCTCGGCGCGCTGCCTGGGACGAGCCCCACGGTTTTGATTCAGTTCCTCCAGCCTCTGCGGCCGTCCTGGCCCCAGGGTCATACAACACAGAGCTCGCTGCTTTCAGTTCCTGCAGCCTCTCTGCGGCCGTCCTGGGCTCAGGGCCCTACGACAGAGAGCTCGCTGAGCTCCAATTCGCGCGCGCGGAGCGGCCGCCGCTCCCACAGAGTCTCCCGTATCCAAAAATGGTGGGGCGGCGGTGTCTGCCCCCTCAGGGGCGCTCCATTAAATAAGGAGGTGATAGGAAAATGTTGGAGGCCTGGAAATGGGCACCAACACCAACACAGGGGATTGCCTCCACAGGGGGAAGATGATCCTAGATTTCGGGGTTGGTGGCAATATTTCGGCCACCCTGGAAGCCAGAATATTACCACCATCACCGAGATCGGCATCGTCCTCCCTCGGTGGAGGCACGCCGCCGATCTTGGTGTTGGTGTCAACCTCTAGGCCTGCGAAAATGGGGATGAGGCAGAGGAGGGCGAGGTGGGGGTGACAGAGGCGTCGGGAGCCCATCCCCCGACGGCGGGCCCATGGGAGACATCAGCGCTGTGCTCATCGTCCGACGTCGTGCTCTATCACCCGCGCCGGAGAGTTCTTCGGATTCTGGCTCGGGGGGGCCGTTTCCAGGCCACGGATGCCGTCAAGAAAACGAAACGAAGCGAACGCCGGAGAGGGGTGTGCGATGCCGTCCAGGAGGAGGGGGCACATAAGGGTAGAGAGAAGAGAGAGAGTGAGAGAGTGAGCAACAACAGAAAGAAAGCGAGAGAGGGAGCGAGAAGAGACAGAACATTGATACAGAGAGAGAGAGAGAGAGAGAAAGAGAGATGTGTGTTCTTGTGTCTTGGCAGCGTGGATCCCTAACAAACGAGATGGTGCACGGTGTGCCCGTGACAGAATAGGTGCACACGATTTCATGCACCTATGTGCTGGAATATGTGTGGTGCAAGAGATGCGACACCAGCCGCGCGGCGAAAATCGTGCGCCGCGCCTCATATGTTGCAGGCTTCCCGGCGCAATCCACACGGCGCAACCCACGCAACACGACTTACGCGTCGCATATACGTGGTGCGATATCTCTCGTGCGATAGATGGGATAGTTTTACACCGTAATCCCAACACCCCTCTGGGCATACGTGGAATATGGAATTCGTTCTTCCGACCCCTTTGCCTTCCTTCCGGGAAGGACCCCTCCATCTACCATCTACCCGTGCGTCTCGAACCCTGGCAACAGGCGGTGTGGGGTGGCACAGGCTCACTGTGCAAATACGGACCAGCAAACACGCCTGCGAGAAGGTACTTAAGAGAAGCGGCGACTGCCCTGCGGCCGATCCTCGGATCGCATAGTCGAGGCACAACGGACCAGACAGGGGTTCGACGGGAGCCTGGGAGTGGATAACTTCGGGATGCGGTGCGTTGGGTCAAGTTCACCTCGACACTCTCCAAGAACGGCTGACGATTGCACACGCTGTGAACTCCGAAATGCCGAGCGAGCACGATGGGGACATACGAAGCAGAGAAGCAGGGGCCGCACCGACGGGGGCGAGCTGATGGAACTCACCGGCGCAGCCATCAGCATCTGCATGGCGGACTGTCCTCCGTGGCGTGATCACGCGGAACATTTGCCCATGAAGCGACGCAAGTTGTCAGCTGTTCATCAACAAGGCCGCTGGTTGCAATACCATGCCTATAAATCACCGCGCTTGCACAAGGGTGCGCGTCACGTGCTGAAGCCCACGGAGCAGAAGTGGCACACACAGCATGTCCAAACACGATCCCTACCTTTGGCATGCACGTCGTGCGGCACCGAACATCGAAGAGACAAGCACCCCAACCCACCCGAAATTCCATAGAACTCGTGAGAAACTGTGACTGCTGGTATGCTCATGACCCGATGCTGCGGCGCGAGCGACCCAGCGTCGACAAACAGGTCTCCTTCAGCTGCGAAGAACTTGTGAATGGAGTGTGCACATGTTGGGAAGCAACTGTGCGGCACAAGCCAGCTAAACATGCCGACTCAGCCGCTTGCAGGTAATATCTTCTGTTCGTAACAGCTCCTCCTCCTTCTCCTCCTCCTCCTCCTCCTGCGATCTCTCAAGAAAACCACGTCCGTGACCCTGCGGGCGGGGACGATGGGGCGAGGAGAGGGTCACGCGAGCGAGGGGAACGGCGGGGCTCGTGGCGGCGGCGTCCGCGCAAGTTTGAAGGCGCGCCATCGACGACGACCACGGCCACGACGACGACGACGACGACCAACGACGACGAGGACGACGACGTCATCTAGACGCCCCTGGAGGCCCGCAGAGGTCTTTCTGGAGACCCTCGGAGACTGCTGACAGTCTCTCAGAAGACGTCGGGACATCCAGAAAGGTGCAACAATACCACAGCAGTATGAACAGACGTGGGGCAGACCAGTATCAGAACAGTCTGCGAGCGACACAAGCTGCACGTGAGCACCGCAGGGCCTGCGAGAACATGCCTGCGAGCACCTCGGTGATTGCTTACCTCGTCATAAGTTTGGGGGAAAACAGTGCAAACGCACAAACGTGGGGAAACCAGTACACCTGCAAATTGCAACACACCACAGAAATACGACGCCTGGTGGGAACCATATTTACACTGTCTGGGCTGCTGTATAGTTTGAAGGCTTAGTCACATGCGATGGGAAAGCATCCACCGAGCTACGCAGAATATTGAGGATAGCGAGCAAAACAGTCAATCAGATCAGCAAGCTCTGGCCTCGTGCATCTCTAGGGTGGGAACGCAAGCATAAGATCTACGACAGCGTCGTCCTGAGCAAGCTCTTGTACTCATTGGGCCCAATGTGGTTATTGATGGCAGACAGATGGAGGTTCGACGTTTGTTCAGTGCCGCTGCTTAAAAAGAACACTGGGCATAAATACTTTCAGTATTCTCAAGGGTTACCAACGCAAGCGTTTTCAACAAGGCAGGGGTGAAACCGCTTTCCGAAGTATTGTCTGATAGCCAAACTAAGCTGCTTAAGAAAATTGCATCACATGGGCCTACTTCTTTGGTGAGGCATGTGTTTTACAATCGCCAGGGGACGCCAAATAATTGAGCTGTCAAGCGCAGGCGTGGACAACCGCGACAACAATGGGTATCTGCGGTTTACGACTAGTCGAAGAACATCCGAATACGATAACCAATGCCCAAATTTGCCATTCCCCCTTCTCCTCGTCCTCCTTCCCCTCCCTTCCCTTCTCGACCCTCCTCCGTTTCACAACCGGGCCTTTTTGATTCTCTGCTTCGCAGTCGTGATTCGCTCCGCTTCTCTGCGTTGCGTTCCACTTGCTCCCCCCGGTCAAATCTTCCGTGCACGCGCAATCGACTGGCACCGTCGTCCCTGCATGTCCTGAAGGGTTGCCAACTGCGCACTTTTCCTGCCCACGCGTCCTTCAGGACGCTCGGCTTTGCGGTGGTGGTCACAAGTTCGGCCAACGCGGGGAGGGACTATCGGAGTGGCCGTCGGGCGCGCGCGCAAATGTAGGCTCCAGACACACAGACCTCTGGAACGTCCAGGCCAAACAAATCCTACGACATCAGGCCAGGCAACTCCGACATCTTCGGTTGCAGCCGAGGCTGCGGCGCAAGGGCAGCCTCGATGAACCAGGGCCAACGTTTGACCCCATGGGGCCCTCCCGTTGAAGTCTAGGGGCCTCTGGAGGCCTCTGGAAATCGGCATCGCCGTCGCCGTTTCCGTCCGTCTTCCTCCATGCCCTTCCATGTCCTGTTGCATCTGCCCTGATTATCACCATGCTGCTGGAAAGCCACGTGTGGACAAAAGAGAGAGCGCGTTTCACGGGCGCTTGCCTTGGGAACATTTGGCGGCGCGCGTCAAACCGAGGGGCCCCCCCCCATTCAACGCTGTCGATCAGAACCACGGGGACTCCCCTACCCCCTAACCCCCCCCCTCCCGAACCCCCTGCCCTCCCAGGGGGGAGGTCCAACCCCCACCCCACCCCCCGGCGCCAGCACGGCCGACGTCGGGGACGCAGCGACGATGACCACAGAGGCCACAAGGGGGAGGGGGGGGGCGGCCCGAACCCACCCCCCCGCGCGGGAACCGGCGCCGGCGCTGGCGGACGCAAGCAGCGCCGACGGAAGGGACGCAGCGACGATGACCAGAGAGGGCCCAGAGGCCACAGGGCGGGAACACAAATCGCCACATCGAGCCCTCACCTTAGGAAGGTCCACGAGGCTTCAAAAGGCAACACCACAACCACCACTACCACCAACACAAACCACCACACCACCACCACCACCGCCTCCTCCACCACCACCACAACCACCACAATCCACCACCACCACAACCAGCACCACAAACAACACGAACCACTGCAACACCACCACCACCAGCACCACAACAACCCACCACAACCCACATCACCACAACCACCACCAATACCACCATCACCACAACCACCCACCACCGCCAAGACCACAAACCACACAACCACCACCACAACAACCACCATCACCATCACCGCCACCACCACCACCACCACCACCACCCACCCACCACCCAACACCCACCAACCACCACCACCACCACCACCAGCACCACCACAAGCAGCACCACCACCACTACCAACACCACAGCCCACCACAACCACCACCACAACCACAAACCACAACGCCACCACCACAACTACCGCCACCACCACTACCACCACCAGCAACACCACCACCAAACCACCACACAACCACCACCACAGCCACTACCACCACCACAACAACTCACCACCACCACGACCACAACCGCCACCACCACTACAACCACCACCGCAAAAATCTACCACACCACCACCCACCACCACCACCGGCACAACCGCCACCACCAATACCAGCAGCACAACCCACCGCCACCACCACCACCACCAACCGCCGCCACCACCAGCACCAGCACCAACTCCACAACCCACCATCACCACCGCCACAACCACTACCACCACAACAAACCAACACACCACAATCACCACCAGCACCGCCACCACCACCACCACAACCCACCACCATCACCACATCAACAAAGCGCTACCACGCCACCACCACCACCAACTCCGCCACCACCACCCACCACCACAACCACCACCACCACACCAAACCACCACACCACCACCACCGCAACCACCACCACCACCACCACCACCACAAACCACTACACCACCACCACCACCACCACCACCACCCACCGCCACCCACCACCACAACCACCACCACCACAACAAACCACCACCACCACCATCACAACCACCACCAAGGCCGCCACCACCACTTCCACAACCCTTCACCACCACAACCACCAGCACCACCACAACCACCACGACAAAAAAACCACACCACTTCCGCCACCGCCACCACCACCACCAACACAACCCACCACAACCACAACTACCACCATCACACCACCACCACCTCCATCACCACAACAACCACCACAACCTGCCACCACAACAACCACATTCACAACCACCACCACCAATCACAACACCACCACCACCACTGCAACCACCACCACCACCTGCAACCACAACCACCACAACAACCACCACAACCACCAACCACCACACCACCACCAGCACCACCACCACCGTCGCCACAACCACCACCACCACCACCACCACAAGCACCACAGCCCACAACCACCACCACCACCTCAAAGAGGCCCCAAGAGACACCCAAGAGGCGCCCAGGAGGCTTCACAAATGCCCTTCAGAGGGCCCCCGAGACTCCTCCGACAACCCCCCAGAGGCATACATTGAGACTCTGACCCAAAAAACCCAGACACGAAGGTGGAGCGTCGTGGTCGTCGCCGTCGTCCTCGTCGACGCTCCCCGCCGCCGCCGCCAGCCGCCGCAGTGCGCTTGCGCAGAAAATGAAGTCGTCGTCTTCATCGACGCTCCCCGCCGCCGCCGCCAGCCGCCGCCGAGGCCCGAGCAGAGGGAGAGAGGAAACGTAGGGGAGGAGGTGGGGACCCCCCCGCGGGTTCCAACCCCCCCCCCTTCAAGCGGCAACAAAACGCGCTCTTTCGGACAAAGAAATCTACACCCACCCGCTGTGGTCACGGCGGGCCCGAGCCATTAATGGATGATTCCAAACTGACGAACAGCTCCACTCCGCAATCACCTGCGAGCACGCACCACGGCGCAGCATTGCGGCGTTATGTTGCGACAGCACCATGCCTGTAAACGCTAAGAGTGCCGCGAGGGCCTACAGAGGTCCAGAGGCCACCGCGGCCACAACACGCCTGCACGCGCCACACCAAGCCTGCGAACGCCACGATGGTGCGCGCCGCATGTAAATCGCGCGGTCACTGCAACAGCCTGTGAGCGCAATCACATGTCAGCAGCCGTGGGGAACAGGAAAGCGCCCCAACGTGCGATCGTGACCGTTTCGAAGGCCCTGACTCCACCCGCTACCCCTTCTGCGCACCGGCGATCTTGCTTGCTCGCTGTATCACTTGGCCCGAGGCGGTTCAGTCCTGCGCGCAGCGAGGTGAGAGAAAAGATTCTGGCAGGCCGCCCCCTAAGGAGAACGCGGGGGCGAGCACAACGAAGGAAGATCCGTATCGGGATCGAACGCGCAGCGCCCACAGGTCTTTTACAGACAAAAGACTGGGCGCGGGCGCGAGGCATCGCGACGAGTGTCCCCGAGCACGTAGTTCAAAACAAAGGAAGTCTTGTATTTGAAAAGACACGTTGGACAGAAGGATTGCATCCAACTGGGCGCCTCGCATGAGAGGCATGAGTCGACGGCACGCGATGGAAACTCCAAACACACACACACAACAACAAAAAAACGTCGGGAGAGAACTTAACGCAAACGTGAGGTCAGCATTCGATCCCCTATTCTGGCAGAAATCATACCAGACTGCCATTCAGAGCTTGTTGCGCTTTACCCTGCCAACTTGAATGGCAACTTCGCCTTTGCCCTTACGCTACTCCCAAATCCCATGTGTGGCTCTCGCCCCCACGCGAGATCAGTAAAGAATTTGGTTGCCAAAGAATTCAGACCGATGTTCATTCGCGCTTCATTTAGAAAACCGCACGTGCTCTTGCAGAGCGGCGCCGTCTTATCAACCTCAGATTCGAACCATTCCCGTGCGTATGGACTGCGATCGAGCGCGATTATGGAGACATTGCGCGTTGGTAGGCATAGTGCGAGGCATCGTCTTGAAGAGGGCGATGCTATTCTCAATTTGGTTACTGGACGACTTGAAATTGACCACGACGCCATACGTGTTTACATGGGGAACCACAAAAGGGCCAACCATATTCATGAAAAACTCAGGGGCCTCGTCGTACATGCCAAGCTGACTGCGGGCACCCAACACTGCATTGTGCACATCCCGGTACAGTTTGATTCCTAACTCCTCCGTCTGGGTACACCGTCGAAGCGAACTCCGGATCGGAGCGCTCGTGGGGCCACAACGATGCCTCGGTACACTCATCTGCTGAAGATGATACGTACCCGCATCATAGTTATAACATATCCTAGCTTGCTGTCTGGAAGCCGAAGTCCCCACAGAGCCAGCAATCGGATCTGGGCACTCGGCGACAATTCGATCCCGTATGCTCGAATTACGTCGAGAAGCCACACTCCGTCTATCTGAATGAGCTCGTCATCGAGAGCTTCGGCGACAAGCTGGAAGAACTTGTTGGACACGGCCATGTTGGTGAATTGGCGCATTCAGTGCACAGGGTCTTCCCACGCAAGCAACTAGGAGAGTGTCTCTGATGCTATCTGTTACCTTGTACCTGGGCATGGCCTTGCTGTCTAGTGCCCAGCGCACTCCTACCAAGACATGAAGTTAGGTCAGCAAACCCGCTGAATTTAAGCATATAAGCAAGCGGAGCCTTCTCCAGCATCTGATCGAACGACCTCACGGCCGCCTGTCCGCGTCCGCGCCTCCTTCGGGCCTGCACTGCTCCCAGCACATCTGGGAAGTTGTGGTCCACGCCGCACCTGCTCGCATAAGTCTGGGTAGTCGAAGCCAATCTGGCGCCAATCTGGCAGGCCCAATCTGGCAAACGGGGGCAATCCGGCGAGGGAGCCAACGCGAATCCAGTTTGGCGAATAACCCAAATCATCCAGTTTGGCCGGGCCAGATTGGCCCTTGGGGCCCAATCCAATCTGACAGTCTGGCCTTCGACTACCCATACGTGTACACGCTGACCCCCCCGATCCCTGGAGCTGCCAGCACCAACATCGCGTGGTCTCTCGGGCGACGCGTCCGCTTCGGCGGGAACTGCACGCCTGATTTGGTCGCTAGCGTTGACGGCCACCTTGCCGCTCACCGACGTCGCGGGACAAAATCATCAATGTGGCGATCCGCTCCGCGGCTTCGACACTGAAGATGTCGAGGAAATCAGTGGAAACTCCAGACAAGAACAAGAAAAACGCGATGTGAAACTCGGATTCGACCAACATGGTGGACGGAAAGATGAACTCCTGGCGCAACGCGGAAACGTCACGACAGAACACTGCTGCACATATGAATGCTGTGGGCCGTAGGCCTCATCTCTGGCAACCCTCACGAACACCATTGTGATCCTACCGGAAGAGGTCGTACAAAGGCGTCAAGCGTTTCGAATGTGGTGTGCTCTCTTCGAGCGCTGCGGTCCATGATCACTCGAGCACAAAGACAGAGGATCAACAGCACGATCAGAAGGGAGAAATCCACGTGACCTGGGACCACCTTTACACTCTCATCGTCTCCTGGAGTTGGTTCAAGCTGATCAAGAGGATTAGGCATGACGTCGATGAGGGGGAGGTTGAGGCGGCGGTGGGAGGACCAAAAGACACCGATACTTTCCGAACCTCACCCAAGGCGCGTCGTTGACTAGAATTCCGAGGCGAATCCGGCCGTGGCGACAAGGGCCCCCCAGGAGGTCAAGGAGGGCGAGAACGAGGGAGGAGTATCGATGTTAGTATGTGTTTCTTCTTTGAGATGGCGACGCTGCTGCACTCACCGCCACCACTGGTCGTCGCCGTAGTAGGTGCTGTAGCCGCCACCGTAGTACTTGCGTCGCCTGTCGCCGCCGCCGCCTCTTGCGGCGGCTGGCGTGCGGTAAGCCCTCGGGATTCTTTACAGTCTCCTCGCTGACCCTTACAAGGCAAGATCTCTAGCACCATTGACACATTCAACACAAGATATACGTGCTATGAACCCTCTGGGGCCCGCGCGGATTTCGTGGGCAGGCGCTGGACCTCCCTCCCTGCACACCTTTGGTTGACCCAAAAAGGCGTTAAGCTGAAAGGGGGTGGTGCAATAGATGTGGGGCAACACTACTGCACGTGTCTTGCGCCAGAGGATTGGATTGCACTGTAGTGCAGCTCATGTATTGCACGCGAACATCCAGCAATGCACTTGCGCACTGGAAGGTATTGCACGCCCCAAATCCACGGCAACCCCACAGTTCTATTTGAGCATCGTTGACCCGATCCCTGTCCCCACTCGCGTGATCTGGGTCTCACTGGCCAGTTTACCCCCGTCGATGGGGATACATGCGGCAGTTTCTGTTAGATTTCGAAGGGTGTGTCCCCAGCTGGGGGGGTGAGATGGTGGGGGTCTGGATGGGGATGGGGATGAAGATCGGTGAAACCATGCTGACTATTGCACCTCGTCTACTGCACCACCCCCTTTCAGCTGGAACCCCGACAAGGGGGTGGAGGGAGGGGGGAGGGCTTCTTGGAGGGAGGCAGCTCCTTAGAAGGCGCTGGCCTTACATCTACAGACAAGGCCCGCGCCTTCGAGGAAGCAGGGGTGCTTCTAGGCAGCCCTCCCCCCTCCCGGGGAGGAGGGGGAGGAGGGGGAGGAGGAGGAGGAGGAGGAGAGAGGAGGAGAGAGGAGGATGATGGCAGGAGAGGAAGGGGAGAGGAAGAGGCCACCCCCCTCTGCGCGTGGCTGATTCTGGGCCGGCCAAGCAGATCGCCCCTGGCCCGGCATGCGGGCCGCGCGGGGAGGGCCGCCCGCGAGGCGCCACCAGGGGCGAACAGCTGAAACGGGGCCCTCGAACGGTGATGCCCGCGGGCCCCTCGAACGGTGACGCCCCTTTGGATGTGCCGCTGCACGGTCCACCCGCGGGGCCTCGGCACGGCTATGCCGCGGACCCACGAAGCGCGCGGGCCCTTCGGACGTCTCTCTGCTTCTGCTCTGGGCTGGTCTGCGACCGAGGACGGCTCGGTTTGCGCTCCAGGGAGCGGGCAGGTGAAACCAAAAGAATCACCCGATCCCAGCAACCGCTCATGCCACAGGGAAGGCCCCCAGCCAAGACGTCGGACAGCCTCACTTTTCGAGTCGCTGGCCCCAAAACCCCTTGTCCCCTGGGGCGGTTTTCGTTCCGTCTTTGACAATCCCAGAAAGCCAAGAAGCGGCTCCTGGACACAGATCCATTTGAGTCCCTAGAAAGGTTTGGGCCCCTGGGGGTCTCCAAACGTCTCAGGAGGCTGCCAAAGGTTGCCGAGGGTCCCCGCGGAGATCCCCAGAAACCCCGAGTCCCCGAAGACCCCGCCAAACAACCTCGATCCGCATCCCCATTCTGCTCGACATTCCCCCTCGACCTCCTCCTCCTCCTCCTCCACCACTTCTCCTCCTCCTCCTCCTACCTCTCCTCCTCCTCCTCCTCTCTCCCTCTTCCCCTTCCCTCCTCATCCTCATCCTCTCCTCCCTCCTCCTCCTCCTCTTCCTCATCCTCCCCTCCTCAATCCTCCTCCTCCTCCTCCTCCTCCTCCCCCCCTGGCCTCAATCTAATATCCTCCTCCTCCTCCGCTTTCTCTTTCTCCTTCCCCTTCCTCGTCCTCCTCCTCCTCCTCCTCATCCTTCCTCCCTCCCTCCCTCCCTCCCTCCCTCCCCATCCCCTCCCGCTCGTCCTCCCTCCCGCTGCTCCCCGAAGGAGCTGGGCGAGCTGGGAGTTATATCCCGGATTGGGCGGAAACCTTCGAACAAAAAGATCCGCGCGCTCAGTCTCCCGACGAAGGGGGGAGGCTTATGATGTTCCAGCCGATTTCGCCTTGATCACCAGGAAGAATTTCGAGCTCCAAGAAAGTACCGAAACTGGATTGTGTGTTCACGTGTCGGGCCCTAGGAGTCGATACTCGTTCGACATTGTTTCGATACGTTTCCGGGTGCACGATTTGTGTTCGGTTATGTGGTCCTTAGGTACGATGGGAGCAACATACGGGGAGGCTACAAAGTCGGAGTGTCACGCAGGCCCCCCGAAACTCGCAAACCAAGAGGCACCCAAGCGCGAGGCGATCACGCGCGGCAGCGCAGTTGGATCCATGCCCGTCGTAGCTCGGTGACGGGGACGGCGATGACCACGGGGACGGTGATGACCACGGGGACGGGGACGGATTCCACGGGTCCCAGGGCGTCGGGGACGGGGCCCACATGTCCCCGGTGCAGCAAGTCCTCGCGATGACAGGCTTCCCGTCATCATTCGTGAAATATTCCTCATACTTTGTCCCCGGGCACACAGAATTTGGAAAATACCCTACGCCACCTCTCCGCTCATAGACCCAGCAGATACTATTGCCATAGCAATCGAATTTGAACACGGTCGACGAGGTTCCAAACTGGCTCGGCGCCCACGAATCTATACTGCCATCTCTGGGTATATTGCGGCAGCCGCATCGCAACATCTGCCTCCTGCATACCGAAGGCATGTCGCTCGACGCTGACTGGAATAAGCTGGCGTTCATGGTGCCGTTCCTGTGCTCAAGGTCGCTCGACGCTGACTGGAACAAGCTAGCGTTCATGGTGCCGTTCCTGTGCTCAAGGTCGCTCGACGCTGACTGGAACAAGCTAGCGTTCATGGTGCCGTTCCTGTGCTCAAGGTCGCTCGAAGCTGATTGGAACAAGCTAGCGTTCATGGTGCCGTTCCTGTGCTCAAGGTCGCTCGTCGCTGACTGGAGCAAGCTAGCGTTCATGTTGTTCGTGTGCTCTGCGGGGTCGGTGCGCGCGCCTGCTCGGGGAGCAACACGATGTCGACACCACGGCTTCCTCGCCAAGCCTCTCAGGGGCGCGGTCTTACCAGGACTCTGAGGCGAACCCAGCTGTGGCGACGAAAACCTCCCCAGGAGGCCCCAGCAGGCGAGGACGAGGGAAGGCCAAGGCAGCGGCCTCGGCAACGGTCAGTGTTCCCCCCTGACCTCCTGCGAGGCCGAGGCTGCTGTCGGCGTCCGCTTGCCCCGCTGATCGAGCGGCTGGCAGAAGCTTACGCCTCGACTGAAGGAGCTCCACCCTCAGCGTGTCCATCGTGCCGCGGTCGGCTGACCACCCGGCAGGGCGCGGGGCCCGAAGGGCTAGCCAAGCAGGCCAGCCAGAAGGCCAACGAACAAAACAAACAGCCAAACGGAGACAGCCTAGCAGGCACCCCACCCAGACGGCGCATAAGCCTCACATCTGGACCGCTATGGGGCCTCTGGGTCCGCGTGCTCACTTACTAGAGGCCTGCCATATCAGGTTCGATTAAACGGGGTCGGAGGATCGCGCCGCATCGCCGGTGCATCACCGATGCATTGGCGAAGCATCGGCGACGTCGGCGATGCATCGGTACCGTCGGCGTGGAGAACATCGGGCTCCACATCGAGCCGCATCTGCGATGCACCGGCGATGCGGCGCGATCCTCCGATCCCATCTGCTCGGACCATCTTGGAAGCCTAGATTTGGGGCCTCTGGATCCGTCTGCTCACTCCTGGGCACCTGGGCCCCTTTCGGTGGCCCGCCGACCACGGTCCATAGAGGCCTCCTCGACCGCCTCGACGTCTTCTGCGGCACACACTTCCTCGCGGCCGCAGCTCGACCCTCCGGCGGAGCCCGCGCTGGAGACGGCCGCGACCAACAGGACCGCACGGGCCACCGCGCGACCGTGGCGCGCCATCGCGCGCTCGGCCCTGGGACGCTGGCAACGACCCGCAGGCTTCACTGGGGCAGAGATCTCGGGGAGTGTTAACCTCGGGCGCTGCGGAGGAGGGAGGGAAGAAGGCGGAGGGAGGGGCAGAGCCCCCTCGCCCCAAGGGGGAGAGCGACCTGGAGGGGAGACGCCCAGACTTTTTGCGGATGACATCTGATTAACAGACAGCAATACTCAAAAATAGTCGGACGGTCGTCCGATATTCTCCCCCTGACTACTCATAAGCTCTTCTTGCATACTCCTCCTGCAGAGGGACATGCCCGATTTACATCTGCACGGGGTGCCGACGAAGGCGATCCTGGCCAGAGGGCCTGCCAGGGAGGGCCCCGGCGGCCCTCAGGGGGCCACGAAGTAGGGTGGTCCGCCCCTCTCGCTCGGGACGTCCCCAGCCTCCAGCTCGGGGAGGCATCGTAGACCTCCTCGCTGGAGGTGGCCCCCCTGGTGGTGCTGGTGTCGCATCTCCTCCCTGCGACGAAGCCACAGCAGGGCCCCATGAGGGCCGATCCCCCGCAAGAGGTGTACCCCGTGAGGCGCCCGATCCACAGGGGCTAGGCGGGGATCATCCTCCTCCTCCTCCTCCTCCTCCTTCTCCTCCCCCCCCGTCCTCCTCCTCCTGCTCCTGCTCCTGCTCCTCCTCCTCCTCCTCCTCCTTCTCTTCCGCCTGAGAATAGACGTCCTGGTGCCCCAGCGGGCGGTGGATACGGACATACGATTCGGCACCCTGGGGCCCGAATTCGTGGACACCCACCGCCTGTGGAGGTCCGCGAAGATCGATCCTACAGGCGGTGGTTATGGATAAAAAACAAAATGAAACAAACAAATCAATCAATGTGCATTTTTAGCGCTCCGCGCAGATTTCCTGGATCTGCGCTGGACCCCCCCCCTCTTTGGCACGCGGAGCGCGCCAGGGGCGGCGCCAAGGCTCCGCTAGCGTGGGGGGCCCAACGCGGCTTCAAGAAATCCGCGCGGAGAGCCAAAAATTCATGCTTCTAGCGATTTTTCCTTCTCGATCAAGCCCCGCCCCGGAACAGTGATGAGCCGATGTTCCACCACCGCTACCATGCGTTGAAGAGGGAGAAGGAGGAGGAGGAGGAGGAGGAGGAGGAGGAGGAGGAGGAGGAGGACCTCCCCATCCTCCCTTCTCCCCCTCCATCCTACCCATGGTAGTGGTGGTGGAACATTGGCCCATCTCGGGGATG